TAAATGGGGGGTCGGGGGGGGGGGGAAACATCTGGGATTGGGGAGGAGAGCAGTGAGCGACGTGCATGGAGGGGGCGGCCGTTTCTTACAGGTGGTTGGGCATCGCCTCCTTCGGGGTCCCGGAGAAACTGGGCTGCGCCAACTTGCCGCTGAACAGCCGCCAGAAGGAGCTGTGCAAGAGGAAGCCCTACCTGCTGCCCAGCATCCGCGAGGGCGCGCGCCTGGGCGTCCAGGAGTGCCGCACCGGGACCCCCGGGGCTGGCGCGGGACAGGGGCGACCCCTCCTCCGATTCCTGTAAAGGAACATCGATGGTGCTTGTGTGGTCCCGACGCGCTCCCAATCCCCCCGAGAGGTCCTCTGGCGGACGGGGACCGGGAGCCAGCCCCCGGGCGCAGGTGCGGTCCTGGAGTGTGGGGGGCGGGGGCTCCCCAGGTCCAGAGCCAGAGTGCTTCCTCCTTCCCGCTGGGCCCGGCTGGAGTGGAGGGAAAACTCTGACACTGAACCCCGCCGACCCCTCGGACCCGTAGCGCCCCCCTACCTGGGGGACCAGCTGGAGAAACATGATGTCGGCGGCAGAGAATGCTGCGGCCGCGTCTGCTGGGCCTTGGACCAGCGGCCAATTGCCGCGTTTGCTGGCTCCTTGGAGCGCCGGGGAGACGGAATAATGGGGATTTTTAAAGGGATTGTCCTGGACGACCCAACGTGCACTAAACAGAGCGCGACCACTCCGCTCTTCCCTTCTCTCCCCTCCTCTGCGCTCACCCGGGGGCGGGAAACTGCGGTGAATAAAGTTCCACTCCCAGGTGCCTGGTGACTCGGTAAAGATAAAAAAACAAACAAACAGGGAATCGGGGTTGTTCCAGGAATATTAGCAGATGCAAGGAGTTTTAGGACCTGGGCGCTGAAAGATTCGTTGTTTTTCACATTTGTTTCCGTTCTCCCTGCACCTTTGACCCCTCCCCACCCGGTTCCTACACACGCAGCCGCCCCGGCGTGGCCTGGGCCCTGCTGCGTTTTGGCCCGCACGCCCTTCCGAAGGAGCCCCGACCCCCTGCGGGGGAAATAAAAAAAGGATGTGTTCTTCACAGTTGCTGAAATGCGGAGGCATCAGCTGTTGAAGAGGTTTATTGGACAACGGGCGCGAAATTGTTTCCACTCCAATCTAAACATCTCGAAAGGGAAAAAAAGTCGCCTGCGGAGTCTCTTAGTCCGTTTTATTGATGCTTTAATAGGCCTTTAACTTTCAAAGATGTTAGCCCAAACGCTATTGCTCGTGTACTAAATACATATTCAGTTATTTTCCGTAACAATTTTTTTTTTTTTTTGCTGGTGACATTTCAATGATCTTTCATTTTAATTATCTTTAAGCCTGTAAGAGGATTAGCTAGTACTATATAAAGTCTATAATGGTTTCATGTTAATATCAGGGTTGTTTTTAACGCTATTCTAAAGAAAGGAGAGTCTTTAATGTGAAACTAAACATGTATCATTTATCACCTAATTGCTTTGATCTTGGTTTAAGTTTAACTTGCTTTCTGATAGGTATTACTCAGGCGAACAAAACTGCACCAAATTTTTCAGCTTGTGTTTCGTGAGAACACATTTTAAATTTTAAAAGAAAGGTAATCTGGACTCTTTGGGGGCATCGTATACCATTTACCGGCATCCACGCAAAGGATTTTAAATTTGACCTGTATTTATTGGGCTTTGATTGTCTATTAGGCACTGAATTAGGTGCCGACATAAATTTTATATTTTAGGTCTTTTTATGTCTGAGAACAATGATAACCAATATCTGACGATCCCTCAAACGGGATATTAACCCAAAATTAATGTTGCTTTCTTAAAAGGCTACCACAATAGGAAATCATCCTTTCAAAATATGCACTCATTAAAGCATCCACTGGAAGCCTTTGAAAAATTGCTTCGCAGACAAGAGAATGAGTAGGAGGCTCTGTTATGAGCATAAACAGAGAGCGTATGCCTCTCTCATTTAGCAATTTACGTCTTATTCTAGGCACCAAGGAAACAGCGTTTATCTACGCGGTGATGGCTGCAGGCCTGGTGCACGCTGTGACCAGGTCATGCAGCGCAGGCAACATGACCGAGTGTTCCTGTGACACCACCTTGCAGAACGGCGGCTCAGCCAGCGAAGGCTGGCACTGGGGGGGCTGCTCGGATGACGTCCAGTACGGCATGTGGTTCAGCAGAAAGTTCCTGGACTTCCCCATCAGAAACACCACGGGCAGAGAAAGCAAAGTGCTGTTAGCAATGAACCTACATAACAATGAAGCTGGAAGGCAGGTATGTATTGGGAAATGGCATAAAATTCATTGCTTTTAGGTAAATAATACAGGGACGAACCGTACTTTCAGTCTAAGAAATCTATGTGTGTATATATGTATGTATATTATGTTTTGTTATGTACGTATGACTGTAAATTTATACATGTTTTTCTTTCATGAGCCTGTACTGACTGCATTGATGTAGTTTTAAGTTCTCCATCTAACGTGAGTTCAGTCTTGTTATAGAATGTATTTGTGATTGTATACTTCGTATACCTGAAATGCTGATTGTAAAATCGTAGAGGTACAAGTGCCTGTTGGGTTCTTTGGCTCCACCCCCTTAGCTGATTAGGGGTAGAGCCTGAGTAAGATCTACAGTATCCGCCTTTCTAATGGGACTGGATCAAATTTCCTCAATTGGACTTTTGATTATTTTTTTATATCTATTTTTAGTGAGCAATGGCTCCTAGACCTGTTGTCTGTTTTACCCTTACTTTCTCTAGCAAACATTCTTAAATACATTTGGAATGCACAATACTTAACAAATATGTTTTTTTAAAACAAAGTTTTTTAATGGAAATATTTATTTTATTTAAAGCTATGTAGATCCATTGGAATAAATTTGTAGCTTAATTTAACTTTTATATATTTACCGTAATAAATATTGACACAATAAAATTTGAGTTCAACACCATAGTTGAATTACTTGGCAATTCATCTGACTTTCCCAAAACAGCCAAAACGTTTTTTATGAATATATATTTTCTATCTTATAATAATCTTTTCAGGACAGGAGTATCAGCACACATCATATACTATTGTAAATACCCAGTAACCTATAAAAGTCCCAAAGTATCATTGCAATCTGCTACCTCTCCTGAAATAAATTAAAACAAGTTTCAATATTTCTCACGAATATTTAAAGTATATTTTGCATTTTTTTCACATTTTTGGAAAGTGAATAAATGGAACCCAATTAGAATAGTTGAGAGTTTCAGCCAGTTTTCTTTATTTAACCACTTTGGTTTAAAATACAAAAACAACCCAGCTGGTGTGGCTCAGTGGTTGAGTGTCGACCTATGAACCAGGAGGTCAGGATTCAATTCCAGGTCAGGGCACATGCCTGGGTTACGGGCTCAGTGTCCAGTGTGGGGCGTGCAGGAGGCAGCCAATCAATGACTCTCGCATCATTGATTTTTCTCTCTCTCTCCCTCTCCCTTCCTCTCTGAAATCAATGAAAATATATTTTAAAAATACAAAAACAGAAAGCTCAGTAAATATATCACCATAACACATCAAATTCAAAATTTCAATTCAACTTGAATGTTCAATTAAAAATTGCAAAGTAGGAAATTAGTAAATAGTTATGTAAACTTTTTATGTTTTTGTTTAAGAATTTAAAAAATTAATTTACCTCACTAAAGTCACTCTTCCTTAACACCATAGTTATGCATATGCATCTTTTCCTTAAAGTTTTATATTTTCAAAAATTAATTTATAGTTTTTGCTGCAATTTAAATATTATCCAATAAAGAAATTTTTAATTATTTCTAATATATTAATATAAAAGAGGTTAAATGTAGTTAACATATGTTCTTTAAAACTCAAGTTAAGCAAGAAAAAAGCATCAAGGTAAGTCAAATTAATATATTTAAAAATAAGAAAACAATTAAATAATGTTTATTATTAATTTAAACCTTAAATATTTGTTAAATAAATTGTTAGAGATTTTAATTTTTTTAACCAGGAAACAAAACTCAGAAACTCAAATTATGATCTCTTGAATGAAGTCCTCTCTGAACATATGAAATGTCTTTAAGTCTCTAAAATGTATTTTATTAATAATATTAGGCAACTATTGAGTTTTAATTAAATAATGTTTATTATTAATTTAAACCTTAAATATTTGTTAAATAAATTGTTAGAGATTTTAATTTTTTTAACCAGGAAACAAAACTCAGAAACTCAAATTATGATCTCTTGAATGAAGTCCTCTCTGAACATATGAAATGTCTTTAAGTCTCTAAAATGTATTTTATTAATAATATTAGGCAACTATTGAGTTTTATTCCATCTTGTGTGAATTTTTAAATTATGTAACAATATTTGCTTTTGTAACTATTAACTTGGGTCTTAAGCTAGTATTTATAATCTAATTTTATTAAACGTATACAACTATTCAGCACGAATATTAATTCTTTTTTGGAAAAAAAAATTTCCTCACATTCCCTAGGTTTTTACTATTACTTTAATTCTGCAGAAAATAATTGATTTTACATAATTATACACATTTTATATAAATTAAACTTCCTCTACTAAATTTTTTTCACGGTGTTCTAGATCAGCGATTTTCAACCTATGTGCCGCAAGAGTTTTTAAAACATTCAATACCTGACTATTTAGTCAGGGGCACTGACCTCTTTTCCCTTAGATTATCAATTTTAAAAAATGACAACAGCCAACACAATGGCTGTATGGTGTGAATGAATCAAAATTATACCTATTTTCTTGTCAGATGGGCTAGAAATATATATTTTTGGTGTACTGCAGAATTTTGGTAACTAGTGTATGTATGCCATGAAAAAGGTTGAAAATCGCTGAAATAAATAGAAACTTAAAATATTAAAAAACATTACCTGGATATTTTGAAGGTATTACACTGGTGTTTTTATTGGTCTTTTCTCATAAAGTATTACAATTGAAAGCATTTTTGTATTTTTCTTTCTTTTGGTGGCCAAAAGAATAAAAACCACCATCACCACCACCACAACAAACTAACCAGGTTTCCAGGTTATTATCTAACATGGAAGAATGATCAACTCCATTTTCAATACTGTCAAATAGGATTTTAAATTATAGGCACATCCTGAGTCAAGTTCAAGGTCTGCATTCAATTGAGTTGATTTCCCTCGTTTCAAAATCCCAAACTCCAAATGTCGAAAAGCGTTCAGAGAAATGTGGGTACTGGCGCTTAGTCGTGTTGTGAGCAGGATAGATGATTTTCTAACCGCTGACCTTAAATTCCCACTTGGTTTCTGACACCATTCCTAAAGTTATGACTCCAAGAATAATGTTGCCGGATGGCGATTGGCTAACAGAATGATGTGATGTCTTCCAGGGGCAGAACTTCTGGGAATAATGTGACTTGGAATATTTATGGGTATTGCTTTTGGTGTGCTTAAAATATTTCCATTCTTCCCATGTCCACCTCATAAACTTTTAAGTTTTCCTACCCCATAATTTGTTTTATGATGACTAACTCAAAAAAGTGGGAAGGGCCCAACCCCAAATTTTCATTGACCTGTTTCAAGAATATTTATAAGTACTTGAACAACACAAGTGTTTTGCTTTTCAGCAGATTCAAGTATATTTTTGGACTAAATAGCATGAAATGGGTGAGAGGAATAGATATTCTACCTTCACCCATCCAATCTTATGTCACAGTTTTCATAGAAACTTAAACAAATCATCTAATAGTTGACAAAATGAAATGCTCATCATGAAATGTTTCATAACAGTTTTTTGATCATTTCTGTGAAGTTTGTGTAGAGCAATATATTGGAAAAATCACAGCCTGCTGTGTTACCTGAGTCAAAATTGTGGGACCAATCACTCCTTAGACCAGTGATGGCGAACCTTTTGAACTCGGCGTGTCAGCATTTTGAAAAACCCTAACTTAACTCTGGTGCCGTGTCACATATAGAAATTTTTTAATATTTGCAACCATAGTAAAACAAAGACTTATATTTTTGATATTTATTTTATATATGTAAATGCCATTTAACAAAGAAAAATCAACCAGAAAAATGAGTTCGCGCGTCACCTCTGACACGCATGTCATAGGTTCGCCATCACTGCCTTAGACCCTTCTCAAACATTTTCTATTTTTACCTTTAAGCATTAACGATGCATTTTTCATATTTCACTCACTAGAAGTGTATCAAACCAAAACTTAACACAAAGGAGCCCAGTAGATTAAATGTTCCCTTCCTAATTGTCCTCCCATAGTTAAAAATATTCCACCAAAATGTGCACATCTGTTTGCAATAGTTAACAAAACATTCCTCTGTTAATATCGTTATAAACCTTAACTACTCAACTAGAGTAGAGAAAGGAATTTTCTCATAACCACACACAACTCATTTGGTTGCTACTCTCTTACTTTTCCTGTTCCCCCCAAAATGACTATGCTATCACTGGAGAATAGCTATTAACATAAATTAATACTCGCTGAAAATCTCCAAAATATATTTTTGAAGTTCATGCAATTTTATTCAATATAGTTGCATATTCCACGTACATTTTTCCCTCTTTTACTAAAATGATCCAGTTTCATATAAAGATTTTATATCATGTATCACCAAGCTTTCCTTATGAATGACAACTATCTTAGCCACAGTTTATTTTTCTGTAAAACAGGAATAATAAGTACATGCTCATAACTACCTACATTTCTTCCTATAAAACGAAATTAAGTAAAATCATCTATGAAAATGTGCTCTGAGAAGCACTAAGTTCTAGTGTGTGTGTGTGTGTGTGTGTGTGTGTGTGCCACTGAACTCTGCCTTTCGTCAAATTCTTGTAGTGGTGATTCTATTGCTTTATTTAATCCCTATTGTCCAAGTTTCTTCCTTAGAGTATTATGGGGATATAATCATTTACATTGCATGTCAAGTTATTGGGATTCTTCTCTTTGAAGTTTATTTGTCTTTCTCTTCTAAAATATACGTATGTAAGACAAAAACACTTTCTTTTTTTATACTTTTTGTTAGGGACAAAAAGGTAATAGAATTCAAAGGTAATCAAATACAAGTTCTTTAAAACGTCACTCCTAAAAAGTTATAGTTAACTCCAGATATTTAACAGGGCTAGTTTTCTATGGCAGAAAAATTCCACCCAAATTTTGACAGAGATTCAGCAGGTTATATCATTGAATTTAAAAGTCAGTCTCTTTATCCTTCAAACCCATAAAGTAGTGTGTCACTCTTACGGGCTACCACTGCTGTGAGCTGACAGTGGTATTGGATCAAGGTCTTCCAATACCATTCACCTCCCAGCAGTGACTCTTTTGTTTTAAAAAGGTGGTTTTTATTGCTACCTCCAATTCAGATTACCAATAGAGAATGAATTAAAACTGTTTAAGTGAGTTGGACTAGTTATTCATTAAATATTTGGAGAGCATCTACTCTGTCTGCTACGCTTTGCAAATTGGCAACGTCATACATGATATTTGAACTGGTTAATAAAAGAAAAAGTCAGCTTTTCAGTCATGATACCGAGCCAAGGGCAGCTGTAAATCACGAGGTGATGACTGTAAGGAACGCTGATCAGGTTTAAACACATAAATATAATCCTTGGACGTTTGGCTTTCTTAGGGCAATTTGTTTTGTTATTACCCAGTTTTGGTTGAGCCCTTTTATTTCTCATATCCTTAGGGCACTTAAAATCTGAACAGAAGTAGACAGATTGCATTAATTTCAACATTTTAAAGAATTGAAGGCTTTGTGAATATCAAATGCCATAAATTTGACCAAATGAGCCTGTGTGCCATACTTTTTGCCTTCATATCATTGAAAGATGCCATTTTGCCTGAATTAATAAGAAGTAGACATATCCATTAACTTCTCAGTTTTGTGAACTCAAAAAGAACATGTGCGCTGTAGTCTATAAAGAACGGGGTTTAAAATACTATTCTGTTTATTATTTTAAACACCAGTCAGAAGTATCAAATATTGCATAAATCAATGCCGTATGCTCTCATTCAAGTTGCAAATATTATAATTTGTTTGAAATATTCTGTCTCGTTAGATAGTTCAGAAACTTTGGTTAATTTGTTAGGAAATGTAACATCCCACAAACATATCAACGTCATGTTTGGTACAAAATAAATAGCAAAGTATAAAAGCCCTGTCATGTTACAGCTCGGATGAGATCTGTAAGTGGGATTTAAGCTGTGAGATTTTGCCTTTCTTGGGTGAGCGGACACACACAGTTTCCAGGTTACTGAGTGGATAGATCAGCTTTTCACTTCACCCAGCATGTTGACAGACGTCAGCTCTGCAGCTAGCCCTGACAATTTATTGATCTGCTCTGCCATCCTCTGGAGACTGAAGGAAGCTGTGCTGACTAGCCTGGTATGTAAGAGGTTTGGAACCCTAGCACTTTTTAAGTCTCTATATTGTTTTTGCACTGTCAGCCCCATTTGCAATTTATCTCCACTCTTACCGTACCTTCTTCAGAGACAGGGGGCATGCGTTTAGACCAGCGGTTCTCAACCTGTGGGTCGCGACCCCTTTGGCGGTCGAACGACCCTTTCACAGGGGGCGCCTAACACCACCCTGCATATCAGATATTTACATTACGATTCATAACAGTAGCAACATTACAGTTATGAAGTAGCAACGAAAATAATTTTAAGGTTGGGTCACAACATGAGGAACTATATTTAAAGGGCCAGGAGGTTGAGAACCACTGATTTAGACCTTAATGCAGCCGTGGGCAAACTACGGCCCCCGGGCCGGATCTGGCCCGTTGAAATGAATAAAACTAAAAAAAAAAAGACCGTACCCTTTTATGTAATGATGTTTACTTTGAATTTATATTAGTTCACACAAACACTCCATCCATGCTTTTGTTCCGGCCCTCCGGTCCAGTTTAAGAACCCATTGTGGCCCTCGAGTTAAAAAGTTTGCCCACCCCTGCCTTAATGTGTACCAGGTAGTGAGCTCTTACAGCTCTATGTAATCTCATTTAATTTCTCAGTCTGTATAAACGAAGCTTAACACATAGCATTAGGGAAAATCGTGTAGATACTACCTCCTTTCCACGTTAGGATGGTGCTACTAATCCATCAAGAATATGACATATGTTTTGAATTAATTTTCCAGAAGAGAGGAAGGATTTTCTGGAAAACCACATTCTTTGGCCCCTTCTTCTTTTGCCCAGGTTTACAGTGATCAGACCTAAGAACTCCCAATTCAGTCAGTAGTCTCATCCCTTGATGCCCGTTAGAATCACCTGAGCAGCTTTGTAGACATACCAACACCTGGATCCCACCTCAACCAATGAAATCTGAATGTCAGGGTTTGAGCATTGGTTATTTGCAAGGTTCCACAGATGTTTCCATGCACACTGTGAGTTGAAGGTGACTTCCCTATCAGGGCTTCTCAACTTTTAATGTGCCTATGGGTCACCTGAGGATCCAAATAAAATGCAGATTCTGATTCTGAGAATCTGCATTTCTTACAAGTGATACTGGCGCTGCTGATCCATGAACCACACTCTGAGTAGCAAGATGCTAAATGTATTAGGAACATGAAGACATGTGTGAACATCACTCCACACCCCAAATTAAACAAGATATTAGGAATAAAAGTAGTTTTCCTCTCATCTCTAATAACAATATTAGCCTCGCCCACTAGCTTAACTTTGACTTGGAAAGGTTTGCTAGGGTCCAGAGGAGGACAAAACACTTGAATGTTAAGCAGCCTGGAAGATCCTTTGTGTTCAAAACCATCAATTTTTTATACAGGCGGAAACAGACCCAGAGAGTGAAGTGATGAGGTGAATTTGCATCTATTATTGAGTAAAACGCGCTTTATGAGTGATATTTAACACGGTTCCTGTTGATTGCAGGCTGTGGCCAAGCTGATGTCCGTAGACTGCCGTTGTCACGGAGTGTCCGGCTCCTGTGCGGTGAAAACATGCTGGAAAACCATGTCTTCTTTTGAGAAGATTGGCCATTTCCTGAAGGATAAATATGAGCACAGTGTTCAAGTCTCAGACAAAATAAAAAGGAAAATGCGCAGGAGAGAAAAGGACCAGAGGAAAGTACCGATCCGCAAGGAGGATCTGCTCTACATCCATAAGTCTCCCAACTACTGTGTAGAGGATAAGAAAATTGGGATCCCGGGGACACAGGGCAGAGAATGCAACCGCACGTCGGAGGGCACGGGTGGCTGCAACCTCCTCTGCTGTGGCCGAGGCTACAACACCCACGTGGTCAGACATGTGGAGAGGTGCGAGTGCAAGTTCATCTGGTGCTGCTACGTTCGCTGCAGGAGGTGTGAAAGCATGACGGACGTCCACACCTGCAAGTAACCACTCCGTCCAGCCGTGGGCACCACGCCTCACTGACCACAGTGGAGTGCCACTTTGCAGGGCTAGTGAAGTCCACTCTGGCCTCGAAACCCAAGATCCTTGGACCCGCCCAGAGTTCCCTTTACCTGGTTGACGTCCAGTCACACACTGAGCATGTGGATTTGGGGGAATTCTACAAGTTTTGGGTTCCTAATTTGGTGATTTGGGGAAAAAAAATTATATATATAATCATCTGTCTCCTAAGCAAGAAAGAGCAGGAAAGAACCTTCCTGTAGAAAATCTGGTCATCTTCAGGATAAGATCCTTGACTATGGAACTCAGTTATGGAACTCAGTAGGGGTGGGTGACTGTTAGTCATTTTTAAAAGACACCTCTTATCGCAGCCAGGAGCGTACAGGTGAATCTCATTTATTCTCTCAGCGTCTTATTTTTTTCTTAATATATTTTATTGATTTCAGAGAGGAAGGGAGAAGGAGAGATAGAAACATCAATGATGAGAGAATCATTGATTGGCTGCCTCCTGCACGCCCCCAATTGGGGATTGAGCCTGCAACCCGTGCATGTGCCCTGACCAGAATCGAACCTGGGACCCTTCAGTCTGCAGGCTGATGCTCTATCCACTGAGCCAAACCAGCTAGGGCTCTCTCGGCGTTTTAGATGAAGAAATCATGTTACATGTCTGTGCATAGAAACGGATGTTGAAAAGGTAACAGAAGTGGTGGGTGCTTTCTTTCATTTCAAAAGAAAGGCAATGAAAAAGAATTTTCGTAAGTGATACAATATTCCTAAAAAGTGTTTGGTAGGTTTGGTGACAAAAGGGAAGAATCAAAATTTAACAAAGTGAATTTTGTATAATTTGGATTTTAAATGGGTTTTAATCAGGAGAATTTCTCGGTAAATCTCAGTAAGGTATGGAGTAAACTTTGATCTTCAGCTTCAGACTTTAATCGTAGACCAGTCGCTATTATTAAGAACCCAGCTCTGAATTACTGTCTGAGGAAGGGATCCTGAAAGCATGTGGGAAATTAGGGGTAAAGCACCCTTGAAACGTATAAAAACAGTATTTTGTATAGTATTTTGCTTTAAAAAGTTTTATATTTTGTAAATACAGTTTTTAAATTATATGATATATATTAAAACTTAAGACATTTATTGCCAAAGCCCAAGAGCTAAGGCGATAAAATTATCTCAGAAATAATATTAGCTTCTGTTTTTCTTCATACTATCAATTCTGCCTTTTTTATATATATTGAAAAAGAAGCTAATTGAGCAGTTAGTTATATGGATGTGTATTTCTTGCCAAAATATCAGTTTTATAAGTGTTAGAGTTTAAAATATGCTGCAAAACATTGAGGATTGTGTTATTTCAGCAGTCAGATTAGTTGAATTCTGTTTTTAATTAATGTTTAACTTGTAAAGTTATTATAGTAAATTATACAAAAAGTGTAGAAAGTCTTCACTGAAAAAAAAGAATCTAAATCAGAATAATGATCAACTTGTGGATTTGATTTCCTGGGTATTTATTATATTGTATGTAATGCTGCTTTTCCATGTGAATGTTGAATGGTCTTTCTTGTTTTAGTATTCATGCATGTATATTCACCATATTTTGCAGGGCTGTATTTAAAGTTATATTTTAATGTAACTGCTTAGGTTTTTTATGAATTGTTAAATATTTCAGTATTATATAGAAAAAATAGATTTCTAAGTTCAGAATGGACAAAGAAAGAATATTCTTTTTTTTCATAACAAGCTAGAAAAATGTTTCTCTTTCCCCCAGGTCTCATTCTGTTTCCTTTCCATTTTATTACCAAGGCAGAACAATAATTTGTGGATAAGAGCAAGCACCTGGAAACATCTCAGGTCTAATATTAAAATCAAGGCTAAACATTTGAATGTGACCCTAAGAGTTTAACGAAATTGTTATTCATTGAATGTGATTCTCAGAAATGACAAGTGAACAAATATAGTGCTTATTTTAAAAACTGGTTTAGCATCCACTGATTAGACTAACCTGAAAAATAGACACTCTCATGCCCCCCCCCTTTTTTTTACAAAGTAAATCAATTTTATCAACATTAAAAAATAAGCAATCTTTTTTAAAAGATGGAGACTGTAGTTTTCATTGAGGACCAATTTTTTTCTATTAACTAGAAAACTTTTTATAATTACCTTACCAACCAGTTGTGAGAATCAGGCAGCCTCTAATTCACAAAAACCTGGTTGCTATTTAGTCATTGTTTAAAAACAGTAATGCCCACTTGGGCTTCTCCTCTCTGGCATGCCTGAGCAGGAACACCTAACTCGCAAGCTATGTCTTTTGGGATCTTCTTTTCCTTTTCCTCCTTGGCATCTCCACGGAAGGACCCTTGAACTTCTCACCTGTCTGTTTCACTCGCTGACAATCTTCCTGTGGCTCACTTCCTTCCCATTCCCCATCATGGTGGAGGTAGCACCATGGGGCTCCTGAGAACTGGTTCTGGGGCCCAAACATTCTTAACCAGGCCAGGCTATTTTGCCTGCATTGTTTAGGGCTCTTTATGTTGCAAGGAACAGAAAACCCATGACAAACATTAAAGGAAATGTATTGACTTAGTAGCTGAAAAGGCCAGGGTTCTGACCAGTTTAAGTGAAGCTTGATCCAAAAGTTCCCAGTATGTTCCCAGGGCTCAGGTCTCTCCACCTCCAGCCTAGAGAGGCTGGCTTCTCTGGGGTTGTCTTCTAAGTCAGGCTCCACAGGGTTCTGGTTACCCCCCTACCACCATCACCAGTACCACCATCACCAGCATCTCCAGCATTTCTTTTCTTCTTATCAACATGATACCACACTTCCAGACCTCCTATCCTCCTATCACTCATTCAGCGGCAAGAGAGATTCCATTCTAAGGAGAGAAAATTGTGTGTGTGTGTGTGTGTGTGTGTGTGTGCGCGCGCGCACACGTGGTTTCCTTTTTTTTTTCCTTTTTGGTTGCTCACACATAGAAGAGGCGTGGTTTCCTTTTTTTTTTTCCTTTTTGGTTGCTCACACATAGAAGAGGGAAAAATTATTCCTCAGAATGCCTAGCAAAGGTTATCACTGGCCCTGATTGGTTAGTGTGCCCATCCCTGAGCCAATCACAGAGGCCACTGGTGAAGTTGGGTGATATACATTGATCTTAAGGCGATCAAGCCACATGCAGGGGACTGGTAATGGGGTTCATTCCAACTAAACCTGCATCGCTTGAGAATTGGGGAAGCAGTGAGTCCACAGAGAAAATCTGAAGTGTTATTTACCTGGAAGGGTACCTAACTGCCCAGCAGCACAGTTATTAGATGTCCTCAGTTCTACTGATTTGTTTAGAAAACAGCTTTCTATGGTATCACATGGGTCAGGCTCACAGCCAGACAAAGCACTATGGGTACAAAGTGCCTTGATTTGTTTAAATGTCCTTTATGGTGTTAAAGTTAGCCTAGTGTAATAATTTTCAACTTAAGAGTTCAACTTTTTTTGTAAATTTGGAACTGCCTAAGAGGCAATGGTTAGAGTCAATGATGATTCTTGAAATGAAATCAAGACAAACACATCAAACAGTGTTATCTGTAATCTCTGGGAAAGGAGTTGGCTAATTAAAGAATTTTCCTCATAATAGTAATTCCTATAACATTAAAAACACTTTAATTTATTTGAATATAAACTATTTCCTTACCCACCATCTGGATTGATAGCTGTTTTGTTTTTGCTTTAAAAAAAATGATAATAGTATACTAAGAATAACAATGGATTTTTATTACATAAATTAGATGCCATGACCCTATTGTGAAGCTTTTATATCCATGTGATAGTCACAGTAAATATTTTAGAACACACTTTAATTTTCTGAAGAACTGTCAGTACTCATATGTTTGGTTTTACTTAGTTTAAAATGTGGACCAGAAAAGCTTGCCATCAAAATATTTATTTGTGCAGTTTGGTGAGATGTTGGTACTTTTGCATCATCTCCCAAAGGCCGTCATAGAGGGAGGAATGAAACCAACCATTTGGAGGCAGTTAGTTAGTTATTTATCCGGAACATTATAATCCACTTAGCTGACTTGAGAGGGAAAAAATTCAAATTCTATCCCCAGGAACCATGAATACTCCTCAAGACAAGCCTTCCCTGAGGAGAGTTGGCTAAGATGCTGTGATTTTTTAAAAAAATTTCAGTTTCACTATAGACCAGATGTGATAAATCATTGCGTTTCTTGAAGTGGGATGACGAGGTCCGCTGAGAAGGACAAATGCATGTGGCACAGCGTGAAAGGGACACAGGCACACCAAGGACTCACTTCCTTTTAAAAATAAAACATTAGTGAACACTCAGGTAGTACTCACTATGTCCCAGGGATTGTTCTAAATAGAGCATAGATGCCTAAAGACATTGAATCTTCACAGTAGCCTCTCAAAGTCGGTACCATGATTGTGGTCCTCATTCCCCATCTGAGGAAACAGACACAGTAATAGTGATTGAATAACTAGCCCAACATCGCAAAGAACGGACTGGCTTCGAAGTCTGTGCCCTTGACTAGCATATCATTCTTGCATCTCACAGCATAGGATGGTCAGTACACTGAGTTTACAGTGCATCATTTGAAGAGTTTGGGGGGGATTTGTACATGTAATGAAAATTACAGGATGTTCATGACTTCATGGTTTGGTTACATAATTTGGTTGAGGAGCAGGAGTAAAGTGATGGGAGAACGGAGATCTTCGAATTCTCCATGAAATATAATGGAAGTACATCGTCTCTTGATTTCTAAGTGATTTCAACTGCCTGCTATTTGAGATCCCAGGGCGGCTCGCAGTTGGATTCTGCAAGAGCCTAACAACCATTCCAAAAGGAAATAAGTAGGGGTATAGATCAAGCTAATTTAGTGTGACATTAAATAAATACTTACATCCTTTCTATTGTAGTGCTTACAGCCAATTGTTACATAAGGTGTTATTTTTAATAGACGGGTGAAATTCACCATTGGTAACGGTTTACATTCACATCCAAAAAGAAACCACTAGAGATGGTTTGCACGATTAAAAACTCCTGAAACGAAGTCATGCTGAGGAAAAGCAGCCTCCCCCACTGGCTGTAAAGAGAGAGCGATAATGAATGTGGACCAGATCAGCGCAAGCTGAAGTCTCATGTGTGACTTTTTAATTGGCAGAATAAGTGAAAGCATCTGAGTCGTGTGAGAACTGGAAAAGCAGAAAGAGGGGTGGATCCAGGGCTGCCTGTTTTCCTCGGTCACACTGCCAATCTGAACCCTCGGGGTGACTCACCTCCATGGAAGCCAACAGCCTTTCCTTATGCGGATTAGTAACAACCAAGCACCCGGGACCATGGCCCACATCTACCCGGCCATGTTCACCCAAGAAAAAGGAAGGGTGACCCCTTGTAGCCCCTAAGTATTCTTTGATTAAAAAGAGAGGAAGGTCACCAAATTTAACTCTGAGCATTTAAACATACCTTGGACTCTTCCT